CAGAGCAAAGTCTATATACTCGGCAAGGGACCAGTGAACCTTTCCCCCAGGAAGCTGGGAGCAAATGGGCTCGTTTAACCCATGACGGAAAATGTCTTTGAGCGCCACATCATTAAAATCCACCTGGTGAGACAGTTCACAAAAATCCTCCACATAGTCCTCAATAGGCCGGTCACCTTGACGAAGGCAGAAGAGGCGTGAAACTGCTGGGTTCATTTTAGGGGTTGTGTATTCTGTAAAGAGTCAATCCACTGAAGGCGAGCGTAGTGAGAACCCAAGTGCAGTTTATTTACAGAGTGATCCAAACATCCATCCAAGACACAGACTTGACTTGACTTGACTTGAACAGACATAGCATGAGCAGACTTGACACAAACAGACTAGACTCACCAACAGCGGGTTAAATACAATCAATACACGACAAGGGCACAATGGGAACATGAAGCTACTTATAGGAAACAAGAGGGTCACATGACAAGAACAAACCAATGGGAAACAAGACACATGACTAAGACAACCAATCAGAACATGACACAATGAACAGGGGAACCAATGGCATGAATACATGAGGGCAAGGGAAGCATGACACAAACAGGAACCATGAAATAATTACAAAATAAAAGACATGGAAAACATGAACATGAAACAAAACACCACATTACAATATGATTTTCTTTTGTCAATTGAACACAAACAGAGAATTTTAGGAAAATAATCTATCTCTGTGAGCCCATATACTGCGATTGAGTGAAAACCTCAAAGTTGATGCTTCAAAAACCACACAAAACGAACACGACTGTAATCCATAGGACCCAGTTGATGAATCATTGTTTTCTGAAGCAAAATGATAGGTGTGTAAGAGAAAATCACTAATATTTTTTACTTTTTAAACAATAAACCATTGCTTCCAGCTAACTGTCACATGCACATCCTTGTGTTCACACTTGATGTAACATAAACATCAACATGTTGTGAAGCGTATCATAAGAGTGTTGTGAAACTCTGACATTTACTGTACATCAAGCATTATCTTATGATGGTTTATAGTTAAAAAAGTCAATCAATGTCTGTTAAAAAAAAGTGAATCAGTTGTTTCACTTCAGAAGACATTGATTCATCAAACTGGTGTTGTATGGATTACCGTTGTGTTTGTTTTGTGTGGTTTTTGAAGCATCCGCTTTGAGGGTTCCACATTCCATCTGTGTTCCATAGAAGAAAGTCATATATACATGGAACAGCATAAGGGTGAATAAATGATGAGAGAAGCTTCGTTTTTGTGTGGAGTATCCCTTTAAAGATCTGGCCTTTAAAAATAAAATAGACCAAAAAAAGCATAGTGATAAACTAAAAAGTGCAGCCAAAATTTATTGCATTTGAATCAGTCATGCCTGAACAGCGGCATAGTCATATCACAGTCCTTCATTGTGATGAAGAAGTCTGCCCCTGCAATTCAGATCCCTGACCAATGATCCTGATTAAAATCCTCGTGGCTTGCCGAGAGATCAATTGAAGGAGAGTGGAAGTTGCTTATTCAGCAGTAGTGGGAGCATGATTGGGGTTAGAGTCAGAACTGAGAACCACAGTTTGCTGATGACTTTGCACATCACGCTTCATAGAAAAGTAAAAGAAGATTGCTGCAGACAGCAAACTGTCACCGTTTCTCACGACAACATCAAAGCGCTCCAATTCTCATTTGTTTAAACGAGACCAAAGGACAGAATTGCTTTGTCGCATACGAATATCTTCCTTCCCTCTTTGATTTTTAAAAAGAGTGGAGCAAAGGGCTTTTGAGGGGAAAATAGTGTATAGTTACATCTAAAAATAGATGCAAAATCAATTTGTGCTTAATCCCAATGCAAAATTTGATAACTTACTCTGTTTTCATATTTGACCACATCTATTACTGAACATATACTTAAAACGGAAAAACTCGTGTTTTTATTTTGTTTGTGCTCAAGGAGAAAACATGTCACTTTTAAAGAAAGTAAAGTACCGTAGATGCCATGAGCCAGAATATACCTTTTCAAGAGTGATTAAACACATTCAACATCTCACATCTCTCTCTCTCATTTTCTTGTGGCTAAGGGCACTTTGTGTGAGTCTGAATGTGGTTTTGTGTGATATCATCTCGCTAGGGTGCACATCAGTCTTTCCTGCACAAGAACAGCACAAGCTGAGATGTCCGATTGATGAAAAATGACTCTTATGAATGGTTCTTTTGATGAGTCAATCAAAAATATTCACGAAACGGCCTCATTAGTTAGCTCTTTGAAACAGACTCACTCAGTAAGCGAATCACTTAAAGCCATAACTTTTTTTCTTTACTTTTATTGTGCTTTTATCTATTTGAAAATGAACCGGGAACTGCTATATATATATATATATATATATATATATATACACACACTTTTAGTTTGTAAAATTATTCAATTTTTAGACTGGTTGGTAATGGCAATATGTAAATAAAAATGCATTTTCTCAGAGTTTTGTTGAATAAATAATACAAATAATTAAACAAAAATAAATTAAGCAATTATTGGTTATTGTTTAACATTGTCAGCTTTGTTTGGGAGGCATAATTAACACAACATTTTCTCCAAACAAGCAAAAATATTCTTATAAGACCACAAAGTGATATTTATATGAAGCAAATACAATTGTTTACTAGAATTACAGCATCAAGTTGGAACAAATGAACAGCTAAATCACCCACTCAAGTTCATATAACTTATATTCAATCACTGTCCATGATGAAATTTTTCAGAGAGGACGATATGTATATTATTGAATATTGATCAAACCTATAAAAGACTGCAGCAGGTTTAAAGGCGCAGTAATTAATGACACAATATAATCTTTCCGATCAATAACACAGCAATTGCCAATATAGTAAATCAACGGAACAAATACAGACTATGATCATTATAAACATTTACACATGCATGCACAACTCTGTTCCATTTACATACTTAATGTTTAGAGAAACTCCGTCCTCCATTCCTTCATTCTAGTACATCTATACATGGCCTGTCATTAAGCCTCACTTGTTTTGAGATCCTTCATTTATTTAATCAATAATTTTGTTCAATTTGATTTGTTTCTCTTTACCTGCTATCCTTAATACTAGTAGGTTTGATGATACAGTGGGACAATGCTGAAAGCTAATTAGCTTGCAACTCTGACAGTTATGTAGTTATGTATTAGTTATGTATAGCTGTTTTGGATGGAAGCAAACAATGACATGACATTAATGCATTTACGCTGCAAATCAGTGCATAAACTTTGTCAGCATCATTATGTTAATTTTGAATACATTAGGAGCTTTGCCATTTTCCGTTTGCAGCCCTTTCTAAGGACGCCAATGTTGTTGTGAGATTGGACATTTACAAAGCTGACATCAGATACCATAAATACAAGCAGCTGGATCAGACATCTGACCTCCATCTGACCCCCTTGATTCTGGCCAGATACTGCAGCCAGACATTCCTCACCTCAATCACAAATGAGTCGCATTGACCCGCTCTGATGCAAACTATCACCTGTCCTCAGCCAACCCTGTTCCATCACTTTAATACCTCAATTCTGGCCAATAGAGAGAATTATCATGCCCATTAATGCCACTTTGCACATAGGAACACAGCAAATGAGCTGCTATAATTGAAACGAGTGCTTTTCCCATCTGTTGGGAACATCTGAATTGGCTGATGATTATCTATTCTATGGGCCCAGACCTAAAATACACAGAGTTAGAGAATGTGCTCTAAGAAACAAAGAGTTTGGACATGGCTTATTGTTGCCCGAGAAAAGGGGGTTGTGAGTGTTTAACAAAGGGGTGATTTTACAGAACTGATGGCTAGTGCACCTGGTTTACATAAAACCAGAGAGTGACCTTGGCTGTTTATGTCTTATCAGGAGCCGTATCAAAGCCCCAGACAAGGACTATTGTCAAATATGTAAAGAAACAAAGAGTCCTTCAGATCTGGCAAGGTTAACAAATATATCTGTCGAAGCTCACAGAGGGAAGTGAAGCAAATCTGAATGCATTTAAAGACAAAAGTAAAGCTGAAAAGGACTCGAACAGAGACTGTATTTCATTAATAACAAATTTAACAAAAAGCAAACCTGTATGCATACAATATAGTACCACTAAATTTATTAATACTGACTGACCACAAAAGATGCAAACTAAATAAAAACGCTGTTTTACTGTCATTGCTTCTTACCTGGTTCACTATTATATATAAATTTGTAGCCTTCATATTCTCCTTTTGGTTCCTTCCATGAGACAAGTAGCCGGCCTGCACTCAGGACTTTAAATCGAAGTCTTCTTGGAGCTGGAACTGCAAGGAAAGAAAGGAATTATAAACTGAAAATGTGCAAATTATGACTTTAAAATATTTTTCAGATGAGAGTTTAAATTGTACTTGGATAAAAATCTAAAGAAAGGTATGTTATAAGTCATATTCTCACTCGGTGTCCAATTTAAGGTTATAATAATCTGTAAGGTATTTAATATTAGGAAATGTAAGGTGATTTAATATTATTATTTAATTGTCCATCCGACAATATGCACATAAAATCATGAACAGAGAGTTACAGTCTCATTAAAAATGAAAAGACGGTAATTGAGATGAGAATGTGACTTTTAAAGGTCAGAAGAGTAGTTTTCTGCTATTTTCTAAAGCATCCTAAGTAAATACCAGTGAGGTTGAAGAGGAAGACAAGTCTTAAAAAGTTCAAAAAAGCATATTACTTCAGTTTATGAGTGTCTACAGCCATAAACAACTGATTAGAGGTAGTCTTTTTTTCTACTGAAGTAAATAAACCCTTCTGACCCATAATCAGTTGTTGTGTGTTAGACCTATGAGAAATCACCACACCCAAACATCACACATCCCACATGTAAGGTAATGAAACATTGATTAATCAATGTTTCTCTGTGCTTATGTTGTTCACATGCCAGATAAAGAAACCGAGGTGCTACATAAAGTATATGAAGAAAACATGTTGGCACAAACAGAAAAGGAAAATAAGTAAAAATAAAACCCAGAGGTCAATACTACTGGAAACAGGGCATTTAGGAGACAGAGATAAAACATAAAACTGATCTAGGTGCACCAACCTGAGGAACAGAACACTGCTGGGCTGCCTGTGGGGTGAACATCTCCCTTCTCATGGACACACTCTGTCCAATATGTGTCTATGGGGAGCTATGACTTCTTTCCATCAATCAATGTATATAGAAACACATTTCTGTGCTTAAAACGTGGAAACTACCCAGCTGGTAACAAGGTAGCAAGTGAAAGGGCTGAAAGATTAGCCTAAATGAAGCTGTTTCTCACTAGGGGCTAGCTAGTTTGGGACCAAATGTTTGATAGTGGTTATTGATAAACGTATATTTTCTATGTGAATAAATTATATTATTTACTTGTCTTTACATCATGCTATAGAAATGGTCCCACATTTTTTTTTCACAACAGCTACATTTATCAAATAATTTTGGGGAAAAAATTGTATCAAAATGTAATTTACACAAAAATGTTAATTAGCACAATTGTTTTCAACATTGCTAATAATACAAAATACTTCTTGAGCATCAAATCAACATATTAGAATGATTGAATTGACTCATGTGACAGTTAAAACTGGAGTAATACCAGCTTGAAATAATTATGTAAATAAAAATTCAAAATTATTAAAACAGAAAATAGTTATTTTAAATCATTAAAGTGTTTAAAATTGTAAAGAGTTATTTTATAATCATTTTCGCAATATTAATGTTTTTTACTGTATTTTTCATCAAAAAATTGCAGCCTTGTGACTTCTTTAAAAAAAAAATTTAAAAAAACTTATCGACCCCAATCTTTTAAATGATAGTGTATACAGTATGAATCATTTATTAAGAATAATAATTATTTATCAAAAATAATAATTAAAATAGTTTCTTTCTACAATGAACTGCATGTCATTTATATCCAAAATTAAATTTTTAATAGCTGAGTAAAGAGAATAAAGTATAGAGAGTCAAAGTTAATTTGACTATAATAAAACTTAAGATACCTAACTTATCTAATAATTATTATATCTAATAGTTCACAAAAAAATTATACAGTATATGTGCCTCTATAGCTTTGAAAAAAGTTATGGAACACCAAACTGTACTCTATTCATAGAAAGTGTCAGTGAAAATTCTTAGTCATTCATGTGAGTGGGATTAAATGAGTACTGATATAGAACCAGCCATCCAGAGAATTTTGAACATTTTTCACAACAGATCATCTGCGCATAAAGTAACCACCCTGGTAGTACAAATTTAGAGGAGAAAAGCGTGTTGTTGTGCCAGCTCAGTACTGCACACCATGACGGAAATGAAAAATGTATGCGAAACACAACTCAGAAAGTAATTCCAACAATGTTGAAATGCTAAAACTCTGCTCACGAGCCATGAATAATGAAGAAGAACATAATACATTCATCGGCGTGAAAAAAACAACAGATTTCTGGAAGCAGTACCATGACAAGTTTCATAGAATATTTCTAGGAAAACTGTCTTAGCACACCCAGGTACGTCTCCTGGCTCTTGGTGATTAAAGGTTTTGTGCCAAATACACTCCTGCAGAGATTGAGGGGGAGGTAAGGAACAACGGCAATGGTGGTTTAAGGGTGGCAAGTGCTGACTTGTAACTTGAAACGAGAGAAATACGAGCAGGAGGTCCTGTATCTGTCTGTATGTTAGAAGCGTGCACCTACAAATCTGCAGGCCTTTGATGTGGTTATCTTTCATCCTTTTTGAGACACTCACAGAGCTCTTACTCCAAAATCCACTGCGTCCTTTTATCATCGTGCTTCCAATTACTTGGAACTTTAGTAAGTGCTCCGCACTTGTTTTGAACGTTTATTTTCTACAAACTCAAAAATCAGTGTTGAGCGAATAAAAATATTAATGCCTACTTAGCGGGAGCAGTTAGAAACATTCTGCACTTTACACTCATCTAAGGCCCCGTCCACACGGAGATGCATTTAGCTGTATACGCATACATTTTGTATCGTATAGGCGTTTCGTCCACACGGATCCGGCATTTTGGGAGAGTGAAACCGATATTTTTTTAAACCGGGTCCCAGGGCCCCTTCTTCGTACGTCGCTTATTACATCCGAGATGAAATGTCACATCCAAGATGATATCATCGCGCTAATCAGGATCTGGCTAATTCTGTTCTTCGAACGAACCTGTTGTTGATGATTAGTATGGCTGGATTGAGTTATCTGAAATAATTGTGCGTTCATGGGTTGGCTTAAAAGGAGTTATGTATAGATACTCGAAACCACAATCAGCAATGCAGCGATTGGCTGGTGACAAGACAGCAACGTAATGACATCATATAATTAATAAAGACACCTGACGAAAAACTTGACAAATGTTTGGACTTTTATAAGGAAACAGCCAAGCGAACAAAACTACATAAATGTTATAATAGATAAATGAAATGTGCACTGTTTTTATTTTATTTAAATTTTTTACATGATTCCTGTAGCGTCTGGACCAATCAAAAACACAATTTTTCATTTGATTTAACAAATCAGTTATTCATTAGATTAACAAGTCGTCACAGACCCCTCACCCAATAGACTGGGCGCCAGGATGTCTGCGAATGACCACAGGCCACTG